TATAAAATTTATATATAAGTAGATTCCTACTTTTATATATAAGTAAAAAATCATGAATTTCACTAATTTGGAAAAACAAGATATTCTTAATCTTTTTGGCTTCATCACAACAAAAAAAAAATAATAATAAAGAAATTTTACAATAATGTCAAATGACGAAATGGGTTTTTTTAAAGAAATTAGAAATTAAATTCTAGATTTATAATTAAAAATATAAGTAATTTTACTATTAGGTCATGATGGTGAAATAGATATTAATTAATGCAATATGTTTAGTGAAAAAATTGATCACAGTTACCATTACCAAAAATTATATTCCTAAAATTTATGGTATAAAGTAAAATTATTTTAGTAATAACTTCCTTACGGTTTAAAAAAAAAAATTCAAAAGGGTTGCTTTGATACGTTAATTGGGGGATTTGGTCCAAACTAGTGACTAGAGTTTTACAGCCCATAAGTCCAACATCGCTTTCTTTGCTAGCCCATTGTAATCTACCAATTAAATTTAATTATTTTATTTTTCCGTAAAACGGCCTGAACCAGATCCATCATAAAATCTTGACGGCAAATATTATTCTGGTAATACGCGGTGGAGCCGGAATCTTTGACGCGGTAACGCGTGAGAAAGCCTTAATTTAAAGGAGTTTTTAAAGTATAATTAAGTTTTATTTATTATTACTTTTTAATACATCTGATTACATGATATATAAAAAAAATTATTTTTATTTTTAATTTTTTAATTTAAAATTATAAATTTTTAACCATTAAATCACTCTGTTGCCCGATTTAAATATTGCATTACTGCTTAATTATTTCTTAACATAGGAAAGTATACCCATTGTTAAAGTTTTTCGTACTTCTAATAAATCAGTTTTACCATAGTCAGCCTTTCGTTGTTGTTTTTTACCATAGTTTCAACTTAAAATTTTTTTAAAATTTACTACTAATTAAAACCCCTGAGAGCACTCACCTTTCATACGACTTTAGGGTAAAGCCTTCATAATACAAAACTTAAGTAATTATGTTTATAATAATATTTTATAATTTAAATTACAAAATACTAATAATTACATTATTAGAGACATCTGATATTGAAAATCAATTATTTATCGATTAATTAATATTTTATAATTTAATATAATTTCAATTATAAAATACTAAACTCTTGTATTTATATACATATTTTGAAATATTTAGGAGATAATGTTATATATATGCACCGTCTAAAAGCCATTAGTAGTGAAGTGCACTATTCACATTTGATATCAGGCACATAAGCAATAACTTTTAGAAATTGGTTGCCCTTTGCAGGTCAATGGTTCTATACGCGGAATTCGAGCTACAAAAGTTGGGACGATTATGCTTGAAGAATGATGGAGAAGCTTCAACCCAGCAAAAATAAATTGGAGAAGTTTCCACTTTCAAAAGGTACGCTGGACAAGTGGGCCTTTTTATTTTTATTTTTATTTTTTTAAGTATAGATTTAGAGTATATTTATTAAACTTTTTAAATTATAATTCACATAAAAATATGAATTTTAATTTTAATTTAATTAATTAATTAATTAAAACTATTCATACAACATTAGTGTTAAAATAAAATTTTATTTTTGTAATTTTTTATATAAATTAATTATAAAAAGGTTTATTTTTTGTGATAATGTTATACATTAAATAGTAAATAATTTATCTTAATTAATAATTTAAAAAAATAATTTATTCTCTTAATAAGTAAATTTATTCCTATCATCTTATTTGAAAAAATTTAAAAGTTTTATTTGTTTATTATACTCTTAACTTGAGATTAAAGAAATTTTTTTTGAATTCTTTTTAATTAAGAGTCAAATATTCAAACTCAAGTTTGTTATAGTATAAAACAAGCAAAACCCAATTTCAATAAATTCCATCTCTTTAGCGTACACAAATAAATTCAATCCCAAGCAAGACTCAAGCCTATAAGATATTCTTCTGTTTCGTATAAGGCTTTTTTAAAACAAACGGAGTTAGACACTCCCAATCATGTACCAAACTAACTAATTCTACATCATCATACTAATAATAATCAATTAAAAGATCGCTTTTTGCAACATTTTAGACCATGACTTGAGTGGAGTTCGCTAATTTACCCCCACAAAAAGGCTGGTCGATGGGTCCAATTGGACTAAAAGATGGGTCAACAGTAATGAGGCTGCTTCATCTGCCAATTTTAAGAGGAGAAGTCCAAGTTTGTCTGAAATTTCTGCGCCGATGTCCGATTATGAGATTAGCATTATGCTTAATATAAAATTAAACTTGATCATTTTTGTTTGTAATTATTGGAGCATATATGATTTGGACATTAATCGGTCATATAGATGAACAGGTTGGCTTAATCCTGAAAACATGGCAGGTCCATCGTCCAATATGACGTGTTGTCTGGACAAAGCTAGATGGCCAGAACCAAACATTGGAAAGCCAGAAAACCAAGAATATGTTTTGTTAAGCGTTCCGTTGGTTTAGTTGGGGACATGTAGTATTCCATGTTCATCAATTAATAATTGGGCATAATTTTGATATTTGGACCAACATGTTGTTGGGGCAATGAGTTACTTTTTCTTTAGAAGTTGTGGGGAAGGCAAGGTTCATTTAGCTCCTCATTTCATATCAAACTTGAGATGATTGACTATACTCCTCGCAAAAAGTATTACGTGTACACAAAGACTTTGAGAAAAAGGTACATATATAGATATAAAATTTTATTATTTTTATTTAAAGATGTAAATTTTATTAAATTTTAAATAAAAAAATAATTTTTTTATTTTTTTATTTAAATATGTTAAATTTATATTTTTTATTTAATAATTAATTGAATAATTTAAAAATCATTTTGCTCATCAATATCATTATCTAATTGATATTTAAATAAAAAAACAAAATTAATATTTTTAAATAAAAAATTAACAATTTATTATCTTATTTAAAAATTAATAAATAAAAAATAAATAAAGTTTGCATCATTATCTATATTTTTTCTTTTGATTTTCAAAGCAACTTTCAAACCTGAGATGAGATATGCCAAATTGCCAATCTTCACATCGCAAACAATATTATTCTTACCTCCGCATCACGCTATGTAAAAGCAATTCACAAAGTTATTCTATTATTTGAATGAATTTTGACATCTTAATTTTTGTACCGATTCAATCATATAGTGCACACTCTGTGGTAAAGCTTCTTGTGTTTTATCTTGTTTTTTTAATCTTTTGAGGGGGAGGGGATGACAACATTGAAGCATATTCTTACAGTTATAAGAGTCATCGAAACATATGGCATCTGGTTACATAGAAGGCACAGCCATCAAGCTGTACTTTTCCCAGGATGTGCGGGCTGTTGCTAACTTGCTATAGTTGCTAACGTTAGAGAAATTCCATTGTTTGTTGTATTGAAAAGGTCAACAAATGAACAAAATTTAGTTTTCTTTTCATGGCATTCACCATTGCTACCCCGCAAGCCACCTTCAGTTGGGCGTAACTCGCGCTCCTTTTCTCAAGCCAAAAAAAACCCATTTTATTTCTGTGTTTCAAACTCTTCCTCCCTTCATATACTTTCAAAGCATTTCTCTACTTTTGTTCCCATAATTTTACTTCTCCGAACTTTGCTTCCATCAGCAAGGTACGTTTCTTATGTAACTTCTTTCCTTTGATGACTATAATTTTTTTTTTTTCACTTATAGGTATAATTTGGAAGGATCATTTTATTTTCATGGTTCTGTGTAGGCTTTCCTTGCAAATTCATTAATCTAAGAGCCTAAGACACCCAGCTGTGTGTCTATGGCGACGACGAAAAGAGATGGAATTGGAGGGAGGGAGAAAAGAGTTCCATCCCCTGCAAATTCTAACATCAACCTTGGACAAAGAAGCACCAAGAATTCCAACTCTCCATCATCAGGGAAACAAGTACCAAACTACCTCAACCCTGCTACCGTGACCTCACGCAGCGAACCCTCCAAGAATGCCAAGAAACCTGGCATTGTATCTGATAAAGACAGAGCAGCCAAGGCTGCTCTTAACCGAAGAAGATCCATGGACAGGCCCGATCCATCCGCTACTCGAGCAAATAAATCACTCATTTCTCCTGGTCACAAGGATAATACACCGAGAACACTGCAACCTGTGTCCTCCTCTAAATCCAGTACATTTTCACCCAAGCCTACCGTGCCTAAGACAGGGACGGGAAAGCCGCTGATGTTATCTTCTTCAAGGAGCGTTAAGAAACCTACAACTGTGGTTATTATTAAGAAGGATGCTGGGTCGAAGAAAGCTCCGATTGCGAGCAGTACTGTTCATGATACAAAACAAGTGATTAAGGTTGAAACCAAGAATGAGATGGATGAATCATCCCCTGTTCATGGTGTTGAAGAGGTAATAAAGGTCGAAAATGAGGTGGAAGCTCCGGAAATACCAAAATCCCACATCCAAAAGGAACTTGATGTTGTGAATGCCGAAGTTAAAGATGCGAAAGAAGTGAACAAGGATATCATTTGCGATATTGCTCCAGTTTCAGAAGAACAGAGTCTTTCCCAGATCGACGAAATTGATGAGGGTATTTTACAGGGAGAAAATTTTGATCCTGAAGATGATCGGGAAGGCGAAGAGAATGCCAAGAGTGATGGTGATTCTCACGAGGGCATAGAAACAGAGGCCGCACATAAAATGGAAGAGAATGTAGTTGATGAAAAGGAGGGTAGAAATGAAGAAGAAGAAAACAAGGAGGTTGACGAAGGGAGTCAAAAACTGACAGAAGACGTGGAGAACAAAAGTGTTGAAGAATCAAAGCCGGAGGCTGTAAATGTGGTGGCCAAACGCCAAGCGGCGGCAGTGCAAGGGAAGAAGGAATCTCCGGCGGCTTACAATGCTGTGATTGAGGAGACAGCAAGTAAGCTTCTGGAGAAGAGGAAGAACAAGGTGAAAGCACTGGTTGGGGCATTCCAGACTGTTATAGATTACGAAACCGCTGCTTCCAAATAAATCCTGTGATTTATCATTTCATTGAATCATTGCAGTTTGTTATAGTTCACTGATAAATGAATCAACAATCATGTGTTGATTGGTACCAAATTCCTCCTGATTCGATTAATTGTTTATCTGATTAGGAAGCATAATTAAAGAAAGAACAAATTTCTAACTTAATACTTTTCGATCAAATTGGTTAAATTCAGAAGGGGTTCTGTCTATATCATTACTGTAGGATCATATTTACAAGTGATTAATCTGTCTCCATTGAACTAAAAAATGCTAAAAAAATAATTTGGTACATAAACTATCGCGCTTTGACTGTCAAAACCCAAAAAAAAAAAAAAGAGAAGTTAAAAGTACTTTTCTTTGCTAATCATGCTGCCATTGTGCTGCCCTATAAGAGATGCTCCCCAAAGTCACTATTCGAATGAATTAAAGCACAAACTTTGGTTCATAAGTTAAGGACAATACATATAGACCCAATAGTCTAATATGATACTTCTTTTTTTTTCTTTTTTTTTTTGAACAGTTTTGTCATGGACGGGTTCGAAACCCGCCCAGGAGATGAGAATGTGCATTTTTCAATGACTTTAGCCACTGGACCACACGGGCCAAGTGCCTAATATGATACTTTTTGGTCCAAAATGACCCATTAACATACATACTTATTGCAATATGTTAGAAATACAACTTTATACTTTATACAGTTTTTTTTTAATTTAGTAATCATTCCCAGACCAGCATGCTTTACACAAAGTCCTTCGTGTCTATTGCCGACACCCAAAGCAGAACAGAGCACCACACAATTGGCACGTGAGACCATGAGAGCATTCGCCCAAACTTCAAATTTCAATCTTCTAAAAGTAGTAATGGGCTTCAATCGCATCCCTCATTCTCTTCTCTCAAGAGATATGGGCCGGCCTTAGTAATTGGGCTCATGTAAGCCCAGATAGACTTTTCCGCTGAAAATGGTATTATTTTACTAATGACGGGTAAAGCGTAATGACGAAAATACGCTCGTAATTCCATCTCTATTCTCGTTGCTGCTGGCTGCCCCCCTTCCGCTTATAAGCCCGCAGTCTATAGATCTTTAGATCTGACTCCCTCGTCTTCTTCTTCATCATCCCTTTGTACACAGAATCATGCGTTTCCATTATTAACTCTCTAAAGCTAATTCTACCTCTCCAAGGCCTCCGAGGATCTGATAACCGTTAGGTTCGTATTCTCAGATCTGTGATTCATACTCTGTTTGGATGCTAGGACTTTGTATTTTCGCATTCCATTTTCGTTTTCACTGTCTCCGAACATGAATGATGTCAATTTAGCTTTTGAATTTCGTTTGATGATTAGATCGTTCCTAGGAGCGATTTCGAGTATTGAAGCTGGAGGTTCGGATCTCATCTGATGTGCATTTCGCTTTCTATATTAGGTTTTAGTTTGCATCTATTGATTCTGAGTATGAAGGATTTCGATTTAGTTTTTGAATTTCGACTATCAATTTGATTATTCAAAGAATTGGATCTTAACCTTTATGTTATCCGTTTTCTGTGTGCGTTCACTGTGAGATTTTTTTTCTTTTAATTGATGAAATCAGTGTCAGTCTCGGAGTAGAAGATTGAGAGTGAGTAGATCCTCTAATTTGCTTATGAATCATGCAAATTGGAAATTTCCATATGTTTTAGCAGCTGGTTAGCTAACAGATCTGGAAGGATCTTGGATGAATTATTCAAATCTGAAGCATATAGATTTTAATCTTGACTTCTTTATTTAAGTGATTGCTAACTAAATTCGCCAGACTTCTAGTTGTATAAATAGAAGTTCAGAGAATAATCTAGCTTTCATTTGAAATTTGTGTTGAACTTCTGTTCTGATTCCCGTGTCTGATTAGCTAGAAATGTTCTGAAGAAGCTTGTGCATTAGATCTCTTTTTGAAATTCCATGGTAACTGCATTTTATTGGCCTGGAATACGTACTGAGATATGGATGTATTTTCTTTTCTGGTTCATCAAGTGTTTTATATGTTCTCATTTTCTCTCTTAAGTGCCAAAAAGAGGATTACCTCTCACTGATGCTTGCGCTGTGCTAATATTAATGTATCTTATACACGTGTCTTATTTGTAGATTACTTTGCCTAGTCTCAGCTTTGGTTATTGACCTGAGTTATTATTCATATTTTATTTTACCAGAATACAAGAAAGAAATGGAGAAATCCTGTAGTCTTCTTATTCATTTTGACAAAAGTACGCCTGCAATTGCAAATGAGATTAAGGAAGCTCTCGAAGGCAATGATGTGGATGCCAAGATTGATGCCATGAAGAAAGCAATTATGCTTTTGTTGAATGGTGAAACGCTCCCTCAGCTTTTCATTACCATTGTCAGATATGTTTTGCCTTCAGAGGATCACACAATCCAGAAACTCCTGCTTTTGTATTTGGAGATAATTGAGAAAACAGATACAAAGGGTCGGGTGCTGCCTGAAATGATTTTGATATGCCAAAATTTAAGGAACAATCTCCAACATCCAAATGAATATATTCGTGGAGTAACATTGAGGTTTCTCTGTCGCTTAAATGAAACTGAAATTATTGAGCCTCTGATCCCTTCAGTTTTGCAAAATCTGGAGCATCGGCATCCATACATTCGGAGGAATGCTATATTAGCTGTAATGTCAATATATAAGCTACCACAGGGAGAGCAGCTTTTGGTTGATGCTCCTGATATGATTGAGAAGGTCCTCTCATCAGAACAGGATCCATCTGCCAGGCGGAATGCATTTCTCATGCTCTTTACTTGTGCCCAGGATCGAGCAGTTAACTACCTTTTGACTCATGTTGATAGAGTTTCTGAATGGGGTGAATTGCTTCAGATGGTCGTCTTGGAGTTGATTCGAAAAGTTTGTAGAACAAATCAGAGGGAGAAGGGGAAGTATATTAATATAATTATATCTTTAATGAATGCCCCCTCATCTGCAGTTATTTATGAATGTGCTGGGACTCTTGTTTCTCTGTCGTCTGCTCCTACTGCCATTAGAGCAGCTGCCAACACTTATTGTCAGCTTCTTCAATCCCAGAGTGATAACAATGTGAAGCTTATTGTGCTTGACAGGCTGAATGAGCTTAAGTCTTCTCATAGAGACATCATGGTTGAATTGATCATGGATGTGCTTAGGGCACTCTCCAGTCCAAATCTTGACATTCGCCGGAAGACACTTGATATTGTTCTCGAATTGATTACTCCTCGGAATATCAACGAAGTTGTTCTTATGTTGAAGAAAGAAGTTGTTAAGACTCAAAGTGGAGAGCTTGAGAAGAATGGAGAATATAGGCAGATGCTCATTCAAGCTATACATTCTTGTGCAGTTAAGTTCCCAGAAGTGGCAAGCACAGTGGTGCACCTATTGATGGATTTCTTGGGAGATAGCAATGTAGCTTCAGCCATTGATGTGGTTGTTTTTGTTCGAGAGATTATTGAAACCAACCCTAAACTAAGGGTTTCTATAATAACAAGGCTGCTGGATACATTCTACCAGATCCGAGCTGCAAGGGTTTGCTCCTGTGCTCTTTGGATCATTGGGGAGTATTGTCTCTCTCTTTCTGAAGTTGAGAGTGGCATAGCAACCATCAAGCAGTGTCTTGGAGAGTTACCTTTTTTCTCAGTTTCAGAAGGAACAGAACCTACTGATCCTTCGAAGAAAACTCAGCAAGCAACCTCCGTTACTGTCTCCTCCAGGAGACCAGCCGTTCTTGCTGATGGTACTTATGCAACCCAGAGTGCCGCCTCTGAAACTGCTTTCTCTCCCCCTTCTGTCGTTCAGGGTTCCTTGGCTTCTGGAAATCTGAGATCCCTTCTTCTTACCGGTGACTTTTTCCTTGGTGCGGTCATCGCTTGCACACTGACAAAACTTGTTCTACGATTGGAGGAGGTGCAGCCATCAACAGTTGAAGTGAACAAAGCAACCACACAGGCATTATTGATCATGGTCTCTATGCTGCAATTAGGACAATCTTCTGCTCTTCCACATCCAATTGATAATGACTCACACAGCAGGATAGTTCTGTGCATACGATTATTGTGTAATACTGGCGGTGAAGTCAGGAAGATATGGCTACAGTCTTGCCGTCAGAGTTTTGTGAAGATGCTCTCCGAAAAAAAGTTACGAGAAACTGAGGAATTAAAGGCAAAGGCTCAGGTTTCTAATGCTCAACCAGATGACCTTATTGATTTCTATCATTTGAAGAGCAGAAAGGTAAGGCAGCTAAAATATTTCTAATGTTTCTTATATTTGGATTAAAGCAAGAAAAAGATCCATGCTTCATCTACTTAGCTTATCATTTTAATTTTCATGTCTAAAATTTTGATTCTTGATTCAAGGGGTTTTGTTTCTTTTAATTTTATCACAATTTTGTGTACTGCTGTCTAAATTTAATTTACCTTCTCTACAGGGGATGAGTCAGCTTGAATTGGAGGATGAGGTTCAGGATGATTTAAAACGTGCAACTGGAGAGTTTGTCAAGGACGGTGATGATGCAAATAAGCTTAACCGCATTCTTCAACTCACTGGATTTAGTGACCCGGTATATGCTGAGGCTTACGTGACAGTTCATCACTATGACATTGTCCTTGATGTTACAGTTATCAACCGTACCAAGGAAACCCTCCAGAATTTGTGCTTGGAGTTGGCAACCATGGGTGATCTCAAGCTTGTTGAGCGGCCACAGAATTATACCCTGGCTCCTGAATCAAGCAAGCAAATCAAGGCCAATATAAAGGTGTCTTCAACTGAGACTGGAGTCATCTTTGGGAACATTGTTTATGAGACTTCAAATGTGCTGGAACGAACAGTAGTTGTCCTTAATGACATCCACATTGACATAATGGACTATATCTCTCCTGCAGTCTGCACAGATGGTGCTTTCAGAACTATGTGGGCAGAGTTTGAGTGGGAAAATAAGGTATCTCTCTGAATTGATTTGCTGGCACTATAGATTTTTTTTTTTTTTTTGATCTAACGGCCATTGGATCAAATAACACTTTCATCTTTCCATCCTCTCTATCATTAAAGGCCTTTGAAGTATTTATGGTTCTTTATATTTTTGAGCTTCTTGCTTTCTTGATAACCCATTAGAAAAGCCCCTCTGAACATGTTATTGAACACTAATTCTCATCTCTATCATGCTTGCTTCCCATGTGGTTTGCTTGCCTTGCTTTGATTCCTTTTGATGAACTAACTGTGGAAATTTATAAGCTAATCCAAATTCAGAGCAGAATACTCAGTTACCATTTTATTGTTAACTTTTATTCATATCTTTTGCTAATGCAGGTTGCTGTCAATACCACAATTCAAGATGAAAAGGAATTCCTTGAGCATATTATCAAGTCAACAAACATGAAGTGCCTCACAGCACCGTAAGTTCTTTTGTTTTCGCCACTAGTATATTGCTGTGTAAAATAAATTAACAAATTGGTAGCCTGGATTTTACATATTAGTGCTATAAGGGTATCATTGCAGTGTTTAACTGCTGCCTGTGTCCATGTGATCTAAACTCTTCAAAAACAACTACATTAATCTTTCTATTCAGATCATATACTTTTTTGCCGTGTGTAATTGTACACCATAAAACTAGTATGTTGTCCCTGTGCTGATCATTTCTTCAATGCTGATATACAACACACTAGCGTTCTTTGATACAAGCTACCTTTAGATTACGTATTTGCATCAGTCTCTAACTCATTCTTCCTTCTCACTCCAGATCTGCACTAGATGGTGAGTGTGGATTCCTAGCAGCCAACTTGTATGCTAAGAGTGTGTTTGGTGAAGATGCCTTGGTGAATGTGAGCATTGAGAAGCAGACAGATGGAAAGCTGAGTGGGTATATCAGAATAAGGAGCAAGACACAAGGCATCGCTCTTAGTCTTGGGGATAAGATCACCGTGAAGCAGAAGGGAGGCAATTAATGCATGGAACTTCAGCTACTGTTTCTACCGTACTGGTACCCTTCGTGTTTTAGGTCGTCTGTAGAGATTCCATGCCAATCTGGCTACGTTGAAATGCAAGTTTTACTTTTCTTTTTTCTGTTGTTAAACCGATACAGGTATTTAGCCCCCAAACTGAGAGATGCGTGTGCATTTTTGTTAAATTCTCTGTATTTAGGTATATTAGTCAGTAATCGGTACTTAAACGTTGTTGTATTTGCAGCTGCATATTTCGACAATCGAAGGTTATTCTTCGAACAATGGTCAAGTTGCTGCTTTTTGTCAATGTTAAAACGGGAATTTTTATTCTGATTCATTAAAAACCATTGAATTTCAAGCTCTCATTTTTCTTTGAAATAATTCAATCTTTATTTTGAATATATTCTCTTGGGGTGAATTTATTTTCTCTTTGAACGAAGCATAGAATTCTTAATGAACATTTCATTTATTGCATCAAAAAATTAAACAGATGAGGTGTTGATTATGATCTGATATGATATATTGGCCAAAATTAAGTGCTTTCACAAGAAAGTCTACTAGGGAATCAAGTTGTTTTCCCAAATTGCCAAACAAATACCCTGCTTATTATTATTATTATTATTATTAGGAACAAATGTTACCATCACTCAAAAAGTTTTCACTTCTTGAAAAAGGGCGATACAATTGACTTGCAAGAGGATTTTGTAGCAAGACAAATTGGTTTATTTTCAGGTTGTTCAATCCATAGTTTATGAGGAATATCACTAGCTTTAAGTTTCTCTGACAAGTTTTCTAGCTGGGTTTCCCCCTTCACCTCAAGGGTAACCTGCATAACCAGGAAGAAAGGCACCATTAGCACAAGGAAAATGGAAAAACCTTCAACAACAACTACTTGGGATCCAATACCACTCCATGTAGCATTCTTCTACAGGGAGAGCACATGTTCCATAGATATTTGAACCAGAAAATAAGCTAATCTATATATAGAGGAAATAGATTGCATGACACAAGAAATCTACTTCCTTTTTTACCTTAATGTTATTCCAAGGCCAGCAAAATCAGCTTGAAGAAAAAGGCACAAACAAAACTAAATTGAAAATCTCATTCTAAACAATTCAACAAGAATACTAACAAAATTATTACACCACTCATTTAGTTTGAAATGAATTAAATTTCCCAATAGGCAATCTAAAACAAATGGAATTCAAGAAAGAACGCTGGATA